TATTATTCAAACCTTAAACCTCTTATAGTAGTCTATCACTATTTATGATTTATCTTTTATCAAAGTCTTTATGTATTTCAGTTTATTTCTTGACCTTGTTCTGTTTCATTTTTCTTCTTGACAGAATCAGATTATCTTGCTTACTTTAATAAGTCTAATGAAAGCACACTCTCTAATTCTTTTCCCCCGTTTAGTATTTTCCAGCTATTATTTCATGCTCATTTAATCATAATATCTTTAGAATCAATTTGTGTAGTTATTAGAATTAAAATCTTGATTTATTCTGGAAATTATATTAAATTTATAGATCAATTTAGGAGAAATTGATACTTCCTAAAATATCAAGACTTCTTACCATTCCCCAATAGAATATATCTTTCTATTTGTTAAATTATTTGTTGAGGGTCCTCAAGGTCATTTTAAAATTTTCTTCACATGAATCTGGTACATTTCTTATTCAGTTTATTCCTATGTAGTTAATGGTTCTAGTTCATATTATAATGGAAATCTCTTCTTCAAATTTATGTTCTATGTGATGTTTGTATATAAAAAAGCTATTGATTATTGTATAATTTCAGATTATTTGTAATAGTTTCTTAGATTCTTTTGTGCTTTTCCTGGCTATTCAGGACACAATCATCTATAAGTAAATGATCAATTTGGCTCTTCCAGTCTGATTTCTCTACCTGTCATTTCTCTGAGTGCACTGACACCCTTCTCCATAAAAGAAGGTATTAATGATGTATTGATGATACCTTTTGCCATTTAGAAGTTTAAATCTTTACACAGGAAAATCTGTCATTCTTTTCTTTCATAGCTTCTGGGGTTTCTAACTTGCCTTGGAAGGTATTTCCCACTCCCCCAATGCTAAAGATACATTCCGTATTTTCTTCTAATATTTTAGAGTTTTCACTTTTACACTTACATCTTCAGTCCATCTGGAATTTATTTCTATATATTGCATGAGATAAAAAATTAACTTTATTTTTTCCAGATGGTTTGCAGAATTTCCCAACATCATTTATAAAATTGGTCAATCTTTCCTCACTAGTTTGAAATGCCACTTTCATCACATTCTAAATAAGTCAGTTTTCTTTTTAAGCCAGAGCTTAAAAACTAAATGAAATGAATTACAGTAGAGAACAGGGATAGGAAATGGAGGCAAAAAAACAAACATTGATAGAGTTCTACACAAACTATTTAATGTATACAATACAATACAAATGCCATTCATAGCAAAATAGTATAAATATAAATAAGTCAGAGCAAATATTCTTATAAAATATTCTAGTAAGAAAGATTCAGAGGATGGACACCCATGAAATATAAGTGTGCAAGAGTTATTTAAACATTGTTTACAGTTACTCCCATCATATGAATAATTTAAAGCCTCAAAACTATAAACATCCTCAAGCTGCCTAGTTTAACTTCAAATCAGATGTTACTGAGAGAGGATCAGAATGTACATTAAGTAAAAAAACAAAGCTTAAAATTAGAGGGAAAAAAAGTAATGGTCTCTTCTGTTTTTAGATTTCTAGATGGTATGGCTTTTCATTGACATATCTAAGGCTCTAGATGTATGTCAGTGTGTATGTCATACATATATGTAGAATGAAGGTGGAACAGTGGTTCTGTGCAATCCTTTCTCTCTCTTAACAGAAGAGTTAATTAAGAGTCATTGAGATCAACTGCCGAAGATAACAAGAGTCAGTGTGAACTCTGAAACCTTGGTGGAAATCCCAAAATATGTGCACTAAAATGCATGCCTTCCCAAGGCTTTGAACGATCTATGAAATAACAAGTTAACAATTACTATTATGATACTGAATCCTGATAGTTCTTGGCCACATCCTTTTAGTCTTCAAAAACCTGAAGTGCTCCTACCCTTCACTTTGTTAGTGGAACTACAACAGAGCTAACTGATGCATTTGTGTAACAATCTTCACTTTGGAAGATGAGAAAGAATATTATTGGCCAACAAAATTTCCATTTCCTCATGTTATCTGTTCCAGCTTAAATAAAAATTAACAGAGTAGTCAAAAGAGAAAGACAGTTCTCTAATCTTGCAGTGGCAAGTCATGTCCTCTAGGAAGTAAAGAAAGTCCAGAAGATGATCATGAGGCATGTTTCCACACAGCGTCACTGTGTTTTCTCAGAAATGAAATGGTACGTTTTTAGGAAGGACATTCAATTGAGTTCATCAAGCAAGTAATAGCAACAACAGTAATAATAACAACAGCACCAACAACCACAAATAAGCCACTTTGTTCAGTGGTGAGGATATGGATGTTTTGTGTCTGTGAGGGGTTGGTAGAGAGGGATGGCCTGTATTGCATTATAGGAATGATACAAGTCAGTTATGTTGTACAGATAAAGCAGAAGCCGGTCCCAGAATGTCAGCCTCTGGGAAGTAACTGCTGTCCAGGGCACTTTACAGAAAATACTATAAATGTTTTAATAGTTTAGAAAACATCCATAATACTATAAATGGATGTTTTCAAACATTACAGTATTTAGCAAACTACAATAAAAACATGCAATTAACTAAGTTAAGTTTTAAGTTTTCATCAAGGGTCCTAGGCATACAACCTGGACTTAGGTTTTATTTTTCAATAAACTAAATGAATATAGATTTTCTTGACTATGAAAAAAGGTCCAAGACAGCGGCCATTCTGGCAGTCAGGTTAACAGATGTTTCCCTTAATAGTTTTTCCTGGAAAATCTTGCAGAGCATCTGTCTCTTTTGCCACCACTACTTATTGAGACAGCTTCCCAGGTGGCGCTAGTGGTAAAGAACCTGCCTGCCAAAGCAGGAGACAGGAGGTATGGATTCAGTCCCTGGGTCAGGAAGATCCCCTGGAAAAGGAAATGGCAACCCACTCCAGTATTCTTGCCTGTAGAATCACACGGAGAGTGGAGCCTGGTGGGCTATAGTACGTAGGGTTGCACAAAGTCAGATATGACTGAAGTGACTTAGCATGCACGTACTTGCTAAGATTATCTTGGGTGTTCTTTGCTTTCCTGGCAGTGGGGTAAAGCTAGACTTGACTTTCTTTTCCCCAGGCCTTTGGAGGATTGCTAATTACAAAATACTTAAATACTAGAAACTCATTCACTGAGCCAAGCCAAGTCTCAGATTCAAAATCATTTTAAAAATATCTGCACAACAACCATACTTCTTCATACTTGATCTATTTTTAGAGGCCCAATATTTGTTTTGCTGGAACATAAGACAGTCAACATAAAAACAGATCCTGCTAAGTGTCTTTATAAATAGAAGTTATTAGTTTGTGTTCAATTACTAAGCATTTTAAATAACATGCCCTTAAAAGTTATCAAGTTCTTTATATACATACAATTTCCTGATGTTAACTTTTCATAAAATTATTATGGAAAATTATAAATGTACTCTATTACTTTCATGTGTAATTTTGCAATCATATTGTTAAAATTAAAAACATGAGGAAGAAAAGAAAGAAACAGAAACATTATCAAGCACCGAAGAAACTATTAACTGAAAAATATTAATTTTTCTGTATAAAAAGTTTGTCTATGCAACTATTAAACAGGTTGAACAGATATCATGTCACACAGATTTATAGATAAAATTTGTCCCAATTGGGTGTCCTTAGGTCATATCCAATGTAAAGTCACACCCTGCCTTATCTTTAATGTCCCTTTCAAATCCTGAGCATAATAACAATGTGGAATTATGCTTTGAACCCTAAAGGAACAGTTTTAAAGTTGTTTGCCTTATATAATTACTGCTATAAAGCCAGGTAAGTTTTCACACTGTATCTTTAAAGGCAAAAATCATTTTAAAAGGTTCTGAATCGCCTCCAACTGGAACGTATGGAGGCATATGAAAGGAAAATACAGCTATTTCAGTACTGGGGAAATGCAGTCTTAATGCAGGGAAGAAAAGCGAATTTCCTGATTTCCACACTGCTGTGGCATTTTCTGACCCCCGTCACTCATCAAGGGCTGTCGGTGGTGAGGAGGGCTAATGCAAGCCTCCATCACCACCATCTTCCCAAGACCAAAGGCTGGCTCCAGCAGTGGCAGTTCAGAGGTGCTCCCAGGACTGCAAGCGGACACCAGCAACTGTGGTAACATTTAAAGGGCCTGAAATACCTTTATTCACTGCTTCAGTGCTTTCTTGCATCAACCCACATAATTCGAGTTGGCAATATAGAAAATGGTAAAGTGGAGTTAAGGGAAATCCTAATGAAGACTGCAAATCGTGTTCAGAGTGGAAATTGTGACTCTGTCAGCATTACCAGTATTTCCTGCCCCACAACCAGTATATCTGTAACCAAAATGGCTTGCTGTGAATTTTGCAGCACCCAAGCCAAAGCAATAACATTTCCATAAGAGCATATGCACCATGACAGAAGACCACAGCAGCCCAGAAAAATGATTTTCCTGGTAAAGTCCATGCAGCGATGAATAGGGCTCTTGATGCTATGGTAGCTGGGCAGAGATTTTCACTGTTTCCAGCCCACAGTGAGGTAATTTTAAAGGCACTTTTCCCTTCATTTGTTCTACATTCACTGAATGTACATTTTTTGATGTCAGAGGGACACTGCAGAAAAGATCAGATGAGATACTCTGACAATAGAGCCAAAGTTCAAAGATGCTCTATTTTCAGGTAACAGCCGCGACGGTTTGTCTGCATTAAATCTCTTGAGGGCATGTCACTCTAACCCTGTGCACAGCTTTTCAAACAGTTCAAAACAAACAAATCTCTTAGTCGTTGAACAACTCTAACATCTGATACCATCACACAAAAGTTGTAGCGATAGCTACTAATCAAAGTTCTTTTCATTCTGTTGAAAAAAGAAAATTCCTCAGCTTTGGTTTAAGATCACTTTTTATGTTGTTCTTTTGAAAATTATTATATGCCAAGGCTAAAAAAAAAAGAGAGAGAGAGAAGATTCTGTCTGAAAGATGAACCAGAAAGTCAAGCTCTCTAGCTGCACGCTGCTGTCGGAGACTAACTACGATATGGGGTGGGAGTCGTCGGAGGTGACCCGCAAGGCCTGTAACGGAATAGCCAAGGCCTCCATGGAACTGCCTGGCCAGGCCCCACGTGAGACCCCACTCGCAGCAGGTACATCCGGGCATCCGTACTCTCCTTTCAGGCGTTCTGGCCGACTTCGCAAGGAAGCGCGTACTTCCAAGGCCAACACCACCAGGCGGTAGAACTGTAGCACCACCACCAGGAAATTCTTGGCAGCAAAGAACACCAGCATCTGGTTGATCACTTCGAAATAGGTCATGAGTATGAGCCGCACAACAAGGAAGGGACCATCTTGTATGAAGATGCTGATTCCGATGTTCCACAGGTCGGCGCTGTATTGGCAGAAGAATCGGCTGGAGAACCCCCTCGTTGTCATGGACACGGGGCACACGACATTCTGTACTGAAAACACACGACAGGCCAATTAACGCAGGCCTCTGAAATGCATGAGAGAATGGAGTGGGTAAAGGGCCATCAAACACTAGTTCACGATTGGGAGTGAGCCTATAGTTTCATTCTGCTGGGCAGGGGCATAGAAACAGCTGAAACCACCCTGCCATTGGACATCCTTCATCATTTTATATTCAAAATGGATCATCTGGTTTAAGCCCAATCAAACACATGAAAGTAAACCAGCCTCTAATTTCTATGCATGTAAAAAAAAATTCAGCTCACCTTCAAGTCCTCACACTGGGGAAGCACCATTAACTAGCTAGATAGGAAAGAACAGAAGACAGTGCCCTCTCTGTCTTTGAAGTCTGCAGCATTGGGAGGCAGCAGGGTGGCAGGGTGCTCTGGGCCTCGGGTCAGGGAGTCTGGCTGCCTCTTCTGGCTTCCTAACTTTCTAACAGCAAGATGCTGGCCAAGTCACTTAGGCTGCCTGGGCCTCAGTTTCCCCCTTTGAAAACTGCAGAACAGTGATACCTTTGAGGAGAGGGGCCCCTATTCCCTGACTCTCTTTGTTTCCATTAGACTAACACCCTGGCAACTCTCCTTTCTCCCTGTCTGTCTTTCCCTTAAGATAATGTATGACTTACCTGGCTGCTAAATTTGGGAGATGAACCAGAGTATACATGGCTAAGATCCTTCTGCATCCTTTCTTTAGTACCTACCTATTTACTGGCTGACTCACTCAGGCCTCTATGTAAATTGTGTTGTGAAAATTCAAGTGCTTCTTCAAATTCAAACTTAAGTCATGTTAAACATATTTCTCTAATGGTGGTGGGTAAAAAGCCCAAATAACTGCCATTGTTATTTTATTTTGTCTAATTCCTTATGGTTTTGTTTCACAGTTTACAAGAAAGACTGGATATAATTACTGATTTTCCAGTTGAACAAAAGGAGGTCCAATCAACAACGCAACCTTTTTTGTTTTAATTTTTCTAACGTAAATTTAATTCAGGGTCAAGGGCAGAAAATAATCCTTTTATAATAATACAGCCTTTCACGTGGAGTTTTCAAACAAAGAATGCCTTCGTCTATTGGAGCCTGCAAATATTATGAAGCTGCTTTGATATGGGTGCACATAATGTACTGTTTGTTGGAAAATACAATAGTGATTTCGTCAGGAGTAACATTTGGTCTTTGTTTTTCAAACAGCTGCATAACATTATCACCCATGAAAGTTTACAAAATTTCTTTCTTAAATAAAAATTTTCTAAGCAAGGCTATAAACCGCAAGATATGGGAGGGTGAGGACGAGCAGAGGGAATGACAAAAGAGAAACCAATATAAGATCAATAATAGCCTTTCCTAAGATGTTAGGGTCAGGAAGTGTCTCCCAGAGGATCTCCTAAGAGTATCATTCAACATCTAAACTGATGGTGCCTAATATTCTGGCAGAGGACACCAGCTGATCAATGGGTATAGAGCACGTGTGTGTGTGTGTGTGTGTGTGTGTGTGTGTATTTATTTGCATACATTTGTTTGCAGTTATTAAGTCGTAATTAGGTTCTGAGCATTTCCAGAAAGCCACAGCCATGCTTTCCATCTATTCTGTTGACAGTTTTGTTTTGCAAAAGTGGATGCTAAGGTCTAAAATAACTCTGAAACCTCTGTGCCTATAGGAGTGGACCGAAAAAGGATGCAGAAAAATTAAATATCCTTGTACAAAGATTCATTCTACCCCTGAGGTCATCAGGTAGGATACCATAAGAGAGGAATCAGATTTGAGGAAAATATAACTATTCAATCCAAGAACTTATTCAGAGTGAAGTGGCATCCAGGAGAATTGCCACATGAAAATTCTAGGGCTCCTAGAATTTATAGGCTCACTCCAGGTCAATGCAGTCCAATAAAACCATCTGTATTAATAAAAAAACACACATTCTATATCTGTGCTGACAAAACAGCCATGTATGACCACTGAACAGGCTAGTGCGACTGAGGAACTGAACTTTTAATTTGATTTAATTTTAATAACTTTAAATAGCCACATGTGACTAGTGGGTACTGTACTGGATAACGTAGCACTAGATCATCAGTATGAAATGCCTGAGAAACAGTTTGCTTCTGGCAAAGTCTTAGGGGGGTTATGCCTTTATTAAAATAAGTCCAGTGGGTGTATAAGACCCATTATTGAGGAAAAAATCCAGTTTTCCATGTGGTCCTGAAACTGCTCTTATTCCTTTTGAAGTTCTAATACAAACGTCTGACAAAAGAATGAAAACGATCCCTTAAAAATATCATATGCCAGTAACTGTGCTAATAAGCACAATCGTTACAAACTACATCTTATTTTTGTCACAACAAGAACACTCAACCCTCACTACAACAATCATCAACCCTATTTCATGGATGAAAAATGGACGCTCCTAACTAATTTGCAGAAGTGATGGAACAACTGTATGAAATGGACATAAGCCTGGGCTCTTATCTTCTCAACTATCTCAGGTTCACCAGGGACCCGGAGGGAACATTCTGGCAGCCCTCCCGAGTTTCAACCCACTTTTCTTCTAAACTGAGCTGGGACTAACACTGAGATATCAAAGTGATAAAAAAAAAAAATGATAGTCCTCTCAAATGACTCCTTAGCTTCACTACAGTTTCATAATCAAGAGCTGTTATTTTCTGTTTCTCTGAGCAAACATCAGATACTTACCTGCCAGGTCAAGTGGAAATTGTAGCATGCTCCAGGTCCATATAACAAGGATGGAATAGACCAGGGCAGGACTATTCCTGGAATGTAGACAAGATTTTAAATTAGCAATGAAAAATATGATCACATGCAGAAAAATATTTCCTCTTTTTCCTCCTAGGTTATCACCAAGATATTTGTGAAAAATCCATGCATGATTAAAATGAAATAATGAAAAAGAAGTTTTAAAAAATATGAAACTTAAAACCCAACTTCCACATGTGCCAACATCTATGTGAATCATGGCAAAACCTCTCGGCCCATATTGCTGTATTTTGTTTTACAGAATCACAGAAGCATTACAGGACAAAAGTTAGATATTAACCTGAAAGTTCAGTGGGCTTATTTCAAGAAATTTCAAGGAGAGAAAGTGAAAATTGTCCCAGGTTCCCAAAACTCTAACTTAAATATCCCTCTCAAAAGGGCTGGATAAGGCTCAACAATTAAGAGCTTAGCACGTAAAAGAAACTCCATCTTCAGCTGGAGAAAAAGTGGGAAGATAAATCCAATAATCAAAGATTTACAGTGGACACTAGGATGTAAATCATTTCATTCACAATTGAACATGTTTCAGTTGTGAATCAAGGAATATGATTGTTTCATTCACTGTTGGATTCCCAGTGCCTACAACAGTGCCTGGGAAATAACAGTCAGTCAGCAAATATTCATGGAAGGAATTGTTACATGTACAAAAGGATCCATACCTGGAAAATGTACAGATGTCATAGACCTAGGAGGATGGTCTCAAAGACTAAAGTCAGAAAGAATAGAGGTTACAAAAACATAAAGGATATGAAAGAAGAATCAAAGTCACTCTTTTACAGCAAAAACCCAAAGGAAGTTATCAATTTGAGGTTAGTGGTGTAATAATAGATTTTGTTGCCAACTTCTCTGTCAAGAGGGATTTCCAGAATGGAGAGGGATAGAAAAACATCAGGGAAGAGTAATTGAAACCAAACTCAATGAGGTGATTGTAAGGGATGTTTTTAAATGCTCCAAGTATTGAAGTCCTGAAAAATTAGATCTCAAAACTCTGAGAGAATTTGTAAATGAGATTTCTAAGCCATCATTATCTGTCCTGGCAGTTAATGGTGCAGACAAGGTTGGTGACAAAAAAATGAGGTCTTAACTTTCAAAATGAAGCAAAAGTATATCTTGAACTATAGAGGCACATTTACTATTCATCCCTGGTTAGATTATAAAACTGGTTATTTGAAAGATTTCTGAGAGCCTGTATTGAAGAGAACAGTAATTACTAGGAATCACCATAGCTTTCCTGAGAACAAAAGCACTCATCTAAGATTATTTTCTCTCTCTCTCTCTCTCTCCTTTTCTTTAAAAACTGAGTTAGGATTACTAAGCAGGTAATGATACATAAATTAATAATAGACATTTGGATTGAAACAAGGCTCATGAAAAAGCCTCCCATGGTGTTCTTATTAGCAAGATGAAGAAATGTTCTGGGTGTGAGTAGAGTCAGGTGGATTCCTAACTGCGTAAATTACTCCCCAAAGGAAGCTCTCTACCGGGTCGCTGCAGGCTCTGCTTTTGATTCTGTTCCACTTCACATTTCATCCCTGAGTTGGTTGCTGATGCTGATGGAAGGCTTCTCCTATGCACATATGACATTGGAGGTTGGATTGAAAACCAATACCCCAGAAGACACAACCAGGATGCCCAGAGATCTTGACAGGATGCAACTGGATGACCTTCAATAGGATAGAAGAGGTGGCACTTCATAGCAGCCATTCAAAAGGCTCAAGGATTTTCCGTTCCTATTATCTAATTATGAGTCCACAGTGTGACATAATTTTTTATTTTCCAAAATCAAATGCAATCATAGATCACTTCCCAAGAAGTATAAGTCAAGAATTTTAAATGAAAATGCCTGGGGAATATGGTCTATAATTTTCCCTTTGCAGTGTCAATGTCTATATTTAGCAGACCTTCAATAAGTGCCTGGATTTTTAAATAATCTTACCTGCAGTTTCTGAGCTCATACTATGTGCCAGGGAGTTTTCTAAGTATTTAACTCTGCAGTCACACTTAATCCTCATACCAGCTCAACAAATGGGTACACTTATGATCCCTATTTGGCCAGTGATTTCAGCATCCACTCTTTTAACCTTTACGTGATAGTATTTCCACGAAGAAAATGGAAAGTTTTAGCCCTGCTCTGTTCTGTAGTGTTCAGAGTATATCTGAAATATTATGTGCTGCCTTCATGTTTTAGGAGGAACATTTAAAATGTCTTTGACCCAAAGGAGAGAGTCTAGGATGGTGAGAGAGCTCAGAGCCATGTTAGATGTGGCATAGTTCATGAAACTAAAAACCAGAGACGATTCCTTAAAAACTGAAAGGGTTATCATCTGGAAAATGAATTAAACTTATTTCTTGTGACTTCAGAGAACCAATTCAGGTTCAAAGGATTTTAGCTGCACCTATACGAATCCAAATTTCATCACAATAGAGGAAAGTACTTTCTTATAACATTAACTCAAAATAGAATGAGTTGCCCCTGGGGTTAGTATATTCTCTATTAGTGAAAATGTTCAAAGAAAGTCTGGACAAAAACTTATTGAGAACATTTTGGAGAGGATTTTGCAAGAAATGTAAAATAGATTTCTCCATAGATGGTCACTTTTGAAGTTTCTTCTCATCTCAGACTTCAATAATTCTACCAAAAACCTCATGTGCAGTTTTGTCTGCAAGGCAGCAGAAAGAAATGGTAAGGCATGAACTCTGGTGCTGGGTTGCCAGAATTCAAATATCAGCTCTAACCCTCACCAGAAAGGCAGGATGTGGGCCTCCAATCCCATACTAATCATTTACCAGCCACATGAATATGGACAAATAATTTAACACCTATGTGCCTTAGTTTGGTGGTTTAGTTGCTAAGTCAAGTTGTGTCTGACTATTTGCAACCCCATAGACTGTAACCTGCCAGGCTAATCTGTCCTTGGGCTTCTCCAGGCTGAAATACTGGAGTGGGTTGCCATTTCCTTCTCCAAGGGATCTCCTGCTTTAGTTCACCCACTTTCAATGACAATAATAATAGCTACTGGATTTTATTTGATAGTTGTGTTACATGTTGTTTGAATATGTTAAACATATAAAAAAATCTCTCAGAACAGAACATGATACAGACTAAGCATGGTTGAGTGCTACAAGTTATATATATATATATATATATATACACATATATATATGTATATATATATATTACTAGGTAACCTTGAGACTGTCACAACTTCTCTTGACTGCCACTGCTAAGCTTATAAAATCCTGATATTGATAGTCTCTATTTAATGGTGTTATTGTAAAGACTAAATAACTTATCACAACCAAAACCCTTAAAGCAGTGCTTGGAACACAGCAAGAGATAGATATTATCCATCACCCTTGGAAAGAAAGTTATGACCAACCTAGACAGCATATTAAAAAGCAGAGACATTACTTTGCCAACAAAGGTCCGTCTGGTCAAGGCTATGGTTTTTCCAGTGGTCATGTATGGATGTGAAAGTTGGACTGTGAAGAAAGCTGAGCACCAAAAAATTGATGCTTTTGAACTGTGGTGTTGGAGAAGACTCTTGAGAGTCTCTTGGACTGCAAGGAGATCCAACCAGTCCATCCTGAAGGGGATCAGTCCTGGGTGTTGATTGGAAGGACTGATGCTGAAGCTGAAACTCCAGTACTTTGGCCACCGCATGTGAAGAGTTGACTCATTGGAAAAGACCCTGATGCTGGGAGGGATTGGGGGCAGGAGGAGAAGGGGATGACAGAGGATGAGATGGCTGGATGGCATCACTGACTCGATGGACATGACTTTGAGTAAACTCCGGGAGTTGGTGATGGACAGGGAGGCCTGGCGTGCTGCAATTCATGGGGTTGCAAAGAGTTGGACATGACTGAGTGACTGAACTGAACTGAACTGAACTATTAGTAGTAGTAATAGTATTTTTATTATGGGAACATACTTCTTAAACACTTTGTGTTTTAATTTCATTATTATACAAAACAGGGATAAACAATAAACTGACTTTGACCCTAAATAAGATTCTAACCCTATGATACTGAATATACATCTTTTGCAAGTATTCTCTGAGCACATGCAATATGGGAGAATGTGGGTATTGACAAATGTATTAGTAAAGCTTTCAAACATAAATATTGAAAAGATGATCAGAAAATCTTTGGAGCAAATTTGCATTATGAATTCAGGCAGTAAAATTTACTCAGGAAGGTTAAACACTTAAATATAATTACATCACTAAGCTTAAATGGCAAACACTCCAAATTTATGAAGGAATTTTGGAATGAATTTATCCAACATTGTCTCTATTGTGTAATTGTCTCCCCCACTTGTCTTGCCCCATTTTCTCATGTGTAATCTATCTTCATAAATGTCAGCTGAGAAGCATGTAAGCAGACAATGGACTCTATTCATAGAGAGACAAAAGATCTTTTGAAGTATAATTATAGATGTGAGTATTACTTCTCTACTTGGAAAACTTAGGAAGATAAAAGACTGACATTTGGTAGATCAGTGAACCAAAACTATTGAGTGAAAAACTAAAAATAATGTCATACACTGCTAGCTTTTTTAAGTTTATTGATTTACAATGTTGTGTTCATTTCTGCTGGACAGCAAAATGACTCAGTTATATATATATATATGTTCTTTTTATATTCCTTTCCATATGGTTTATCGCAGGACATTGAATGTAGTTCCCCATCCTATACAGTAGGACCAGTTGTCTCTCCATTCTATATGCAATAGTTTGCATCTACTGACCCCAGACTCCAACTTCCATCACTTCTCCACCCCACTTCTTGGCACTGATGTTGGTTTTCTATGTTCGTGAGTCTGTTTCTGCTTTGTAGGTTGGTTCATTTGTGTCATAATTTAGATTCCACATATAAGTGGTGTCATATGATACATCTTTTCTGACTTACTTCATTTAGTATGATAATCTCTAGTTGTATCCATGTTGCTGAAAATGGCATTATTTCATTCATCTTTAATGACTGAGTAATATCC